TAAATTTGTGCGCTGTGTGGATTTGGTAGATTTTCCCTCCCATCTTAAACGGGATGATATCATCCATAGAAAATGGATGGTCTCTGAGGAGATCCATGACTGACATTACGTAGTCGTCCCTCTTTGCTACGTATGATGGAAGCGAGTCTATGAAGTCTACTATCGTGTACTGCTGTCCCAGACCATGGATGAAAGTGGCCTGCACCTCACTGGGATATGCCTTAGTTCAACCCAAAAATAGTCTTTCATCATTTGTTCCCTTTTTTCCTTGGGGGTAAGCTTTTTGGGTTGCCATGGATATATATGAACCTCCGATCTCTCCCATTGGAGTTTCTTCCAGCTGTCCATCCGTTGCTTATCCTGGGTGAACAGACTCAAGATTGTGAAGACGGTTGATGAGAGTGGCTATATAAGGAAAAATTCCTAGACAGCCTTCGGGCTGCCTTTCATTTCTTCTAATATTTTGCATATCCATCTTATTTTATCATTCACCGATTTTTGTGCCACTTCTCCGTGGAACAACCAGTTATTGGCGTGCTTTGTGTATACCCGGTCCCTTGTCTCCAGTTTTTCGGCCGGTTATATTCTTATTATGGTCTTCCTCCCCGCCTGATCAACCACTTGGTTTTCCGAGGGTAGGAGAAAGAGCGTGAGGAAGTGCGCCCATGCAGATGACAGGTTCCTTAGGGGCACTCTCAGGTCCTCTGTCATATCTTATTGTGAGCCCGCTGTGCCCATGAGGGGTTCGCAACATCCCTCATCAACTGTTCATCTCCTCGGTTTTCCGGATTTGTTTTTTGGTTTATTACTTTCTTTTTTTTCTCTTCCTCAGTTAACATTTCGTCTTCCTCCTCGCCTTTCTCCATCATTTCCACTTATATTCCTTGCTCCCTTCTCACTCACATCTCCTGATCCTATCGGTGATTGTCATCTTCCGCTTCTTTCCCTTTTTTCTTTTCCATTCCCCTCTTATGGTTATGCTGGGCAGGGTCATTTGTTACTATTCTTGTCGGGATTTCTTCATTGTTCAGAGTCCCTGGTGTGTCACCTGCCGGGGCAGGGCAAATCACCTGAGTCACTGATGTTTTCCGATTCTTGAGCAATTCATATGGTTTTATGGATAGATGGCGACTCAGGGTATGTCGCATGGCTCCCTGATAGAAAATGAGTGAATTCGTTCCTTTCGCTTTTCCATATTCCATTTCCATCAATCGTGTATGCGTTTCTCTTTTATACTTGCTTGGGGTTCCGGGACTATCCCGAGACAGAGGGAGAAAGACCCGATCAGGGTGAGATGGGCAGTGGAGGGGAGAGGGGGAACACGTGCCTGTTCTTCGTCGATCCTCCGTCGCTTAGTAGCACTTGCCTGTTTTCGGTCGTGCCGTCGTTTCTCCTTCGCCGCTCCTCTGCTTCGGTATTGTCGGGTGTCTATATCTGTTCTCCCTTTTTTACCGCATCTTGACCTTTATCGTTCCTCCGTCGTCATACACCTGTGTGCTTCGTCGTTGCCGTCCAGTTCCACCCTCCGCCAAAATTCCGTTCCTTATTTTCTTCGTTCTTCCTTCGCCGTTCGACCCTTTTCTCCTCCTCCCCCCCTTCCTTTCAATTACCCCCTGCCTCTCCACCCTTTGCTTTTTGTCTTTCGCGGCGTCTTGTCGTTCCTTAGCTCTCTAGTCTTGGCCTTCCTTAGGTAACATTCCGTTTCCATGTCTTTCTCTTCGGTTTGGTCTTGACTTGTTCACCTTCGCCAGTTCAAGTACTCTCACGCACTTCGACTTCTTCAGAGGCTCACTCCACTTCGACTCCACTGACATCCACTACTTTCGATGCCTTTCCTTCCTAATGCCACGTGTCAAAAGTGCGGCAGCTATGGAATCCTGCGTGGAACCCCCTTGTCGAGGGTCAGACCCCGGTGCACGTCAGCCCTTGACGCTTCGAGGTCTAGCGCCAATGTCTCCCCGCGCGTGTGTTAAGCGCCGCTTAGACAACTATGAATCGAACAAAGAACAGTTCTAAACTATGTTGTCTGTCAGATGTTAATGGTTGTACATCTAACTAATCAAAATGAAAATAGAATCGTTTGTTGGGTCTGTTTGCAGAATGAAATCTTGCCCAAACTTATCACCTGGAATCTACCCCTCCCTCAGTTCTTCATGAATGTCGCTTGTCGTCAACGCCCCTGAGCAATCCAGAACAGCGTGAGTGTCTGAAGGTGTACACACGGCCCACCCCTGTGCCCCGAGTCCTGCTGAGCTGGCCAGCCCTGCACCGTGTTTATCCTCGCGTGCAGCGAGCCTTCTGACCGATTGGATGATCAAGAGGCGTTTTTAAGGACGGCCCCCGAAGTCCTCAGGAATTATTCAACGTCACAAACAGGACGACGATCACAACCGATAAAAGGTTCCAGCCGGTACTTATTTATAGACGTCCGGTCTCGTCTATCCCATAGGGCTGGCCTGCCCTTCAGAACCCCTCTACAGCGCAGCGAGCAAACAAAGGACAAAGCAGCAAAGCATGCGTGCTCTACTCCCTGTAGCGGACCCACCAGGTGTGGTGCTCCGCTAGTGACAGAGATGGAGATGGAGGAAGAAGGGGGAGCAAGATGGCACAACGCAGCTCCCCACGCAAGACTCCAACGCACGTACTCCAAAATGTGCAAGTGAGGAATGAGACTGAAAACAGACAATGGCTGGGGTATACCCCAGCGGACTGACGGGACTGGACTGGAGTGGCTGGTAGCGACAGAGGTACCGGCCTGGACTGGCCTACCCCGAATATAACACAGGCCTGTGAGAACAGGCCAAGGGGTTGGTCTCACAGGCCAACCCGAGGTCCGCTACACGATCCTCGGCCTGTGATGGATCGCCTAGATACAAACATGCTTCCGCCAAGAAGCGGAACTCTACCAAAGAAAAGAAAACCTGAGTAGTCTAGGATGCGGAGCAAGCTCCATGCTGAGTCCATGYGATGCAACCTASGATATAAAATGTCACAAAACAGCAATGTCACAGCTAACAGCCTAAATGAAAGTAGGAGCAACTAACTAACATACATGTCCTAGGAAAGCAAAAAGTAGTGACAACTAGATCCTAGAATGTTGGAGGCACTAGCCTCAGTCTGGTAACAACTGACTAGTGTATAAGTCCTAAGAACAACAAAAGCAGAACAACTAAATCCTAGAAACGTCGGAGGCAGTAGCCTCAGTCTGAGAGCAACAAAGCAATCAACAAGACAACCATATRTMACATGAGAAGTGTGTCGCACACCAAAGGGTGGGATGGTCTCTGAGGGTGGCGAATGCAGCCTAGGGGTCGAAAACTCCTAAGGGCATCCACACATAGTGACAGGGRAAAACACATGTCATCAGGCTCAATGAGGGTAGGGATCTGGGAGCGAACAGAACCAATGACCCTAACAGATAGACCATCAGGGCGGGTAATGCTCGACTAAGGGGTGGCCGCTATGGAGGGTTGACCATGCAAGGGAACAAGGGAGCCTGGTATACTGGGCGCACCTAGATGAAGCATGCGGGGCTGCCTAACTAGGACGTGAGGGCCGGCGAAGGGTAGAAAGATGATGGGTAAGGGAATCATGCAAACGACTCCTAAAGTGAGGGAAGTCGGAGCTAGATCCGTAAGATGGGAAGCCAGGGCAACGCTACGGTCCCGATGCCTATGCGTATACCAAGGGAGAGCCCAACTTAGAGGAACCCGGCTAAAGGGAGACCATCATGCGACACATGCAGGGTACTGTACAGGGTAGAGTGGTAAGAGAGTGGCGACGTCTGAAGTAGGCAGAGCTGATCGTGATGAAGTCCATGAAGCTGCCGATGATGTCCACGATGAGAAGTCCGGAATGCCGTCGAGGAAGAGCCGCAGCGTCGACAAGTTGAAGTAGCAAAACTGATGTGGATGGAGTATTGAGAAGTCAAAGACGTGGGAAGGTAAGTCAGAGTCAATCGTCGTATCGAGCAGGACAACGACGAGTGCGCTGTGGACGCTCAGAAGCATCCGGCTGCTGCTGAAGGTCTGCCTCAGATGGAGCAGGCTCAACTTCAGCGGTCTCCTCAGCTAAAGGAGAAGGAGGAGGGTCAGTGGGCTGAGGAGGAGCAGTGAACCCAGCACGACGAGCACAGTCATAGGCACGCACCAACATACGAGCGTGCTCCAAGTGCTCGAGGGGCTCCCAGGTAGCCTCCTCATCAGGGTAACCCTTCCAACGTACGAGATACACGATGTGGGGAGGGTTGTCGTCGGTGACTCAGCGACCAATAATGTCTGAAACGAGGAACTCCTCGTGGCCGTCCACCATGATGGGTGGAGGGCGCTCGTATGATCGTCCAGCGAAACGCTCAGACGGTCTGCGGTAAGGACGCAGTAACGAGACGTGGTAGACATCATGCACACAGCCTGGCGTAGGTAGTCGGGCAACTGCACACGAAAGCTGACCGGGCTAGATGCCGTATAAGAACCGACGGCCTGGAGGATGCGGCATGGGCCAAAGAAGCGACGCCGAAACTTGCGAAGCGTGTCCGCTTCGAGCTGTAAGTGGCCGGCGTCGATAAGCACATCATCACCAACCTTGAATGGTTGATCCATCCTCGATCGGTTCGCACGTGCTGCCATGCGAGTCAGGGAAGCGGTTATGTGCTCATGTGCGGTCTTCATAATCGACGTCATTTGTGCAACCCAATCATCTAGCGCGGGACAACTCGTGTCGGGGTGCATCTGGGACGGTCGAAGGAAGTCCGCGGGAACACGCAGGTGATAGCCGAGGTCGCAACAGTAAGGCGACATCCCCGTGGCTGGCGAGACGGCGTGGTTGTAGGCTATCTCCGCGTGGGCAAGATGGAGATCCCACTGCTGGTCGTCACGAACAATCTTTCGGAGAATATCCCCGAGAGTCCTGTTCGTGATCTCGGTCTGACCATCAGTCTGAGGATGGTAAGACGAGGAGAAGCGGACCTGAGTGCCATACACCTCGTGGAGCCGTCGCCAGAATCGGCTGGTAAAGCGCGGGTCACGGTCATATATGATGCTCAGAGGTAAGCCGTGGTCACGCACGACTCAGTCAAATACGATGTCGGCGACCTCACGTGCACTGATGGCATAGCGGCACGGAACAAAGCGTGCACGCTTCGTGAAGCGGTCGACGACGACCAGGATAGCATCATGACCGCGGGGGGTCGGAGGTCGAAGAGGACCGATAAAGTCCATCGAGATGGACTGCCAACGACCCTCAGCGATAGGAAGAGGCTGGAGCAAACCATAAGGTAGGTGGTTCGCACTGTTCACCTCCTGACAGGTGGGACACTCTGCGACGTAGTCCTTCACAAAGTCCTTGCGCTTCGGCCAGACGTACAGGCGGCTCACACGAGCCAACGTCTTGTGGAAGCCCATATGACCGGCAGCTGCCTGGTCATGGAACTCTGCTACTGCTCGGACTCGTAGCTGTCTAGTGGAGGGAACACAAATACGGGGCTCTCTAGTGCCCTGTGAACCATGCCAGTACACAAGACCGTTGTCCCTGAGAGAGTAGTTCGGGACGGTCTTGCCACTCCGAAGGGTCGCGTGGATGTCCCGATAGTCGGGGCAGTGACGATACTGAGTGCGAAACTCGTCGATCACCGAGTGGTGAACGGTGTTGACCGAGATGGAAGAGAGCTGGATGTGCTCCTGGTCGTGGTCAGGGCGCCGGGATAGTGCATCTGCGACCCGATTAGTCTCATCCTTGATGTGCTCAGTGGTGAAACTAAACTCGGATAGGTCGCGCCACCAGCGAGCTTGTCGAGGAGTGAGCTTCGGCTTTGTCAGAAAAGCCTGGACAACAGAGTTGTCCGTCCGCACCATGAATGGTGCCCCGTGCAGGTAGTGACGCCAGTGCCGAGCGGCATAAACTACTGCGAGAACCTCACGTTCATCAGCAGTGTAGTTTATCTCGGCGGGCAGGAGCTGTTGGGAGTAGAAGGCTATCGGACAATCACCTGAGCGAGACTTGACACTGCCATCCTCGGCGATGGTAGGAGAATAGTCAATAGAAGGCTCGTCAGTAGCTGGACGAGTAGGCGTCAATCGGGAAGTTGTGGTAGGGGTAGGTGGTGGGAAGCGAGGGATACGAGGATGAGAGGAATCAGGAGATGAGGGGGAGACCTGAGAAAGCACTGCTCCTACAGCGAAGTCTGACGTATCGGTGGTAAGGATAAAAGGGCGGTCAAAATCGGGTAGGTGAAGAACCGGTGCGCATGTCACCGCCTTCTTGAGGGCGCGAAGGCGTCCTCGTGGAGGGGTGTCCAAGCCCAGGGTGGTTTCTTCCGGAGGAGGGTGGAGGTAAGAACGTACGAATACCTAGCGTATCCCCGGATGAAGTTACTATAGTAGCTGGTCAGGCCTAGGAAGCTGCGAAGCTGCTTGGCGGATGTGGGAGCAAGCCACTCCGCAATAGCAGTGATCTTCGCGTCGTCCATGTGGAGACCTTGGTCAGACACGTAGTGTCCTAAGAAATCCACTTTGTGCTGGGCAAAGTGGCACTTGCTTAGCTTGGCGTAGAAGCCATGTCTGCGCAAGCGGTCAAGGACGTCGTGGAGGTGTCTGAGGTGCTCCTTAAGGGTACGACTATAGACCAGGATATCGTCGAGGTAGACGATAACGTACTGTTCCAGGATGTCCCTGAAGATGTCGTTCATCGTCCTCTGGAAGGTAGCGGGTGCGTTGGTGAGGCCGAATGGCATCACCGTGAACTCGTAGTGGCCAAATCGCGATCGGAACGCGGTCTTCGGCTGGTCGGCTGCAGCGACGCGGATCTGATGGTAACCGCTACGAAGATCAATCTTCGTAAAGGAGCGGTTGCCTGCTAGGCGGTCGAACAGCTCATCGGAACGAGGTATGGGGTAGCTGTTCTTAACCGTGTAGCGGTTGAGGCCGCGGTAGTCGATGCAGAGACGAAGAGTTCCATCCGCTTTGCGAGCAAAGAGGACGGGTGCACCCCACGGGGAGTTGCTGGGTTTAATGAAACCCAGTCTCAGGAGCTCCTCAAGCTGACGCTTGAGTTCGGTGGCCTCGGGGATCGAGAGTCTATAGGGTGCCTGGTGGTGAACACGATAGTCAGGCACGAGCTGAATGGAGTGCTCGACGTAACGCATCGGTGGGATGCCGGCATACGAGAAGGACGATGGGAAAACGTCGTGGTACTCTCGGATGAGGTCATGAACTGCAGGCTCGAAGTCAGCCGTATATCGTGCAAGTTCCTCAGCGTCAGCGTCAGCGTGCGACGGCGGGGTGGACTCGACCGACGGCGGAGGGATGGAAGTAGAGATGGAAGCCATGGAGATAGAGGGAGGATCTGGCTCCAGAGGGATGAGCTCGGCGTCGGGACAGGGTGGATCATAGTGTAAGAGATCCGTCACGTCCACCATAAAGAAGGTGACATCGTCTTGTCGAATGAAGTGAGTGAACTGCCGAGGCGAGGTGACAGTGATAGAGGGAGATGGTGTGGGCACTGAAGGGTCCGGGGGAGGAGGATCGGGGCGTGGTGTCGCCGTGGTACCTATGAAAGGTACGCGATACGTCTGT